AATATATATATTTATTTTTATACTTCACTTTTCACTTAAAATTCACTTAAATGATCACTGTATACAATGGTAGGATGTAACCAATTTAACATTTTCTCTTACATAAATCATTCTTGTAGCATTTATGTCAGTTTTGAATAAAAAAAGATACAATCCACGATTATCATAATTACATGAGAGAAACTGCCTTTCACTGGGTGGGTAACAGTTTTCCACAGGAGTGAAGAGGATAATTGCATGAGGTAGTCATCTTATGACAGTATTTCAAAGGCAACAGAAGACAAATCCCTCCTATTTCTGCAGCTCCTGTATTAAATCTTTCTTAATCTGTTCTGAAACAAGTCATACACAAAATTCTATCCTTGAGTTTGTCTCTAGTAGTGAAACAAATACACTTGCACTTGTACTAACCCGACCACTCTGAAAAGTCCTATTCTACACTGTTGAGTCCTTAACATCAGTGCAAAATGAACAGTTACCTGTAGTTCTGGGATTTGAAAATTTTCTTTAAAAAAGAAACTGCCTCTACCAGGATGTGTTAGACAAATTTTCATCCTGTTAGTCTTTCATTTTGTTGTCTCATTCTTGTTAATTTCCTCTCCCTGTATACGTAACATTTTAGGCTCTTCTACTTTAAAAATCTCTTCATTTGCACGAATGTATAAGCAAATTTCTTCATTAAAGTGTTTTCATTCCCTCTCTGCCAAAGGAGGATGTATAGATTTGTTTCAAGGCAGAGAATCAACTGGTTTTGGATGCTTTGCTTTAGTTTAACTGCTCATAAACCACTCTAGTCAGCAGAACCAAAGAACAATTCTCAAGTTTCCAAGGCTTATCTTTTAAGAATACAAACACGTTACACTGCTGTGACTGAACACTGACTGTTTGAGTACCACTTAGCTTGCATAATGATAAATAATGCTGTTTGTAAGCACTGATAAATAATAAATCCAGAACATGTAACAGGAAAAGATTGCAACGGATTTTTTCTGTCAATTATTCTGATGGTAAAACACTGAAAATCTGAAACAATGTTGTGTTCAATCCTGTTTGTCTTATTATATAACAGAGATTAGCATTAGGAAAGGTCAGCAGGGGACAACTGACTAATTGAGGGAATTTATTTTAAAAAGTTAAAAAACTAAACATATAGTCTTTGAAGAAAGTAAGTATGACCTTAGTAAGGTCTAGTAAAATTCTGAAGGGAACGGAAATGGAAGATAATGACAAGACTACTTCATCTTTTTGTCAGTACAAGAACTAGTGGCATAAACTCAAGCTCAGTAAAGGTCAAGCCCTAAAGGAGTCTCTTATACCCAGAGCACAGTTAACTGAAGTAAGTTATGTGCATTTATTTGAGCGTCTGAATGATTTAAATAGATGCAGACACATTTATTTATGATCTCTCTGGAATGCAGCATGGAAATACACATTCTTTTGTTAATGAAAACTTGAGATGAGTTTTGGTAAAACTTGGAGGATTTCACTAAGTGACAAACCTGTCTTTGACTTAAGAATACTTCAAGGGCACGTTTTCCTCTGAAGTTACCAGCAACCGTGCTACCCAGTCTTGGGTTTTAGCATTCTAAATTTTTTTAAAAGACCTTCATGCAAGAGCAAAAGCTTTCTGTGATGGGTGAACAGGTATTCTACTTGTTTTTGGAGCTGCTAAATAAAAATACAATTCCTTGCTGAAAGAAACATCACAGATTACTACAGTAAGTCCATTTTTAAAAATAAGTATTAAAAAAAGCTTTAGAAAAATGCCCAAAATACTACACATTTGAAGGCAGGATTTTTCTGTAATGCAGAAACTGCTCCAATGCTTCCTATTTATATTTCCAATGAAGCTTAACAACCAGAAATGCACTAACCTCAACTAGAAGAGTTGCACATAGTATTTATTACTTGATGCTTAACCATGCATTGGTCAAATGAACTCTGTGATTGTAATGGTTAGGGCTAAACAAAGCATGGGTATGAAGAAGAACGAAAATATACTCTCTTCTACCTGCCGTGCTCTATGTGCTGTCTCAATGCCATGATTTCTTAGACAGCTTAAAGCCCTTGCATCTGGGGAGCGCCCCACGTTCCAGTCTGAAACAGCAGCACTGTCTGTCATCCACTGCAACAACAAAACAAATACATACACATATTTAAAGAAAATGAAAGTACAGTACCTGCCTGGCAATATGATTCATGGTAATGCCATGCTTCTTCATGCAAGTCTGTCCTCGATAGTCAGGAGGGCTTCCTATTTCATAGGTAGATGTCGCTGCACTGTCTATCCTCCACTACAGAAAAACAAATTTATATTTTTATGTTTCCTTTCTCACTGCTTATATTTCTACTAACTGGCTACAAGGCAGTTATTTCTTAGGCAGGAAGAGAAATAAATAGCTTACCTTATTTTCAAGTTTTTCATCAGTTACAAGTTTTCTAAAAACTGCTTCAGCTATTGGAGAGCGACAAATGTTTCCTATAGAAACAGGAGATTAAAGTGAAATTTCAGACAATTAAAAACAAAAAAATCAATAACTGTATGGATTTGTCAGCACAGATCAAATTAAAGATTTTTATTTACTTAGGTAGAATGTGGTTTGCTTCTGTTATTATATAACCCAAGAGATTCTGCAAGGGTGGAGACCCCGAGTCCTGCATCTGGGCTGAGGCAATCTCCAGTATCAATACAGACTGGGGGAGGAAGGGATTAAAAGCAACCCTGAGGAGAAGGACTTGGGGATACCAGTGGGTGAAAAATTGGATATGAGCCAGCAACGTGTGCTAATAGCCCAGAAAGCCAATCGTACCCTGGGCTGCATCAAAAGAAGCGTGGCCAGCAGGTCTCGCTGGGAGGCGATTCTGCTGCTCTACTCTGCTCTGGTGAGACCCCACCTGGAGCGCTGCATCCAGCTCTGGAGCCCTCAGCACAGGAAAGACACGGACCTGCTGGAGCGGGTTCAGAGGGCCACAAAAATGATCAGAGGGCTGGAATTCTCACACCTCCGAATGAGAACTGGGGTTCTACAACCTGGAAAAGAGGACTGGGGAGATCTTACTGAGATCTTATTGCAGCCTTTCAATATATAAAGGGGGTTGTAGTGACAGGACAAAGGGCAACGGTTTTAAACTGAAAGAGGGTAGATTTGTATTGGACACAAGAAAGAAATTTTTTTACGATGAGGGTGGTGAGACGCTGGAACAGGTTGCCCAGAGAAGCTAGGGATGCCCCATCATTGGAAGTATTCAAGGTCAGGTCGGATGGAGCTTTGAGCAACCTGATCTAGTGAAAGATGTCCTGCCCATGGCAGGGGGGCTGGACTAGCTGATCTTTGAAGGTCCCTTCCCACCCAAACCATCCTATGATTCTACATTATCCATCAGTCTCTTGAAATGCGTGTTATTATATGACGGCATAACTTATTAAAATAAATAGAAGGAGTATTGTGTAAGCACACTGCTCTTTTCCTCCACAAAGAAGCCGTGATGACAGAAGACCAGGCAAAATTACAGAATTTAAATGGCAGCAAATCATCTTTATCTTCAAATCTTCCTACACACTGGCAAATTTCAACTAAGTCTTTACTAGAGAATCATGAATATTTGCCTGAAATATTTATATTACTACATACCTGTTAACAAAAACTTTTGGACAATTCCAAAACACAACCACCACCACTGTGGAACCAACGTAGTGAAACGGCTGAACAACCTGTAGTAGAAATGACCAATGCAGTGGAGTCACTGCAGGTCAAACTGAACCCTCGTCAAGAGCACCTTCCAGATACCACTTCCAAAACACCCAAAAAGAAATTGCTTACACAAGCTCTCAAAACACCTCAGGAAAAGAAATTTTCTAATTTTTCTTTTGGTCCATAGTGTAGAGGATAAGGAAGCAAAACATAACTGGTGGCAAAGCTGAAGTGCTCTCAATCAGCCAACAAGCAATTAAGGTACTTAAGTATATAAATACGTTATCACTCTTCCCTTCCAGTGGCCTCCAACTGCACTAGCCACTTGATCTGACCTTATTTTCAGTAAGAACCTATCTCAATGATGAGATAGTGCCCCGTTAAAAACAAAAAATAATGGATCTACAGCATTTTTGCTCCACTGCTGAAACTGCAATTAAGTTACCCATCTAAGGCAGACCTCTCAAACATGCATGCAAAAATACACATTCTTTGAAAAAAATGAAAAACCTCAACAACAACTAAAAGTCTGTTCAACTATTACTTGAACTCTTTCTACCTTTTCATCCTTCAGAAATTCTCAGTAACTAGATGGATATTCATAATATTTGATACGTCACCCAGATGCAAAATAAATCATACAAACAATTCTTCACTTTCCATCAAAGAGAATGTATGGCTTTGCTCATCACTGACTTTTGAGCAGATAAGTATAAAATATCACAAACGGCAACACTCATTTCTATACCTTTAAATAAATCACTCTTCTACTACTGGTTAAATTCTTTCCAAATCTCAAACTGTAAAAAATATGAAATGCCCATGAACAAAGCTAAATTTCCGGCAGCAAAAAGAAATTTTCAGATCAGGCACTTGGCCTCATTTTCATGCCTATATTTTCAAACAAAATATCAAGGTAGATACTTCACTGCTAAAGAGAAAGATCTGGGCATTTAATAACTTGCTGCCAATCATGCCAACTATAAAAAAAACCAACCCAAAGTGGGAAGAGAACCACTGAAGTAACACAAATTTGTTGTCAAAGATTTAGAGAACATCAAATCACTAAATGGGCAAAAGGAACTGGCTAACCACTGAGAAACTGATCTTGCTGAAACATTAAGTGAATTTTGATGGCAGTAGATCTTTTCCCAGGGGAAAGCATACTATTTCCTTTGTTTGAACTAGTTTATTCCAAGCAGAGAAACTAAGTCAGTCTTGGAAGAAAAACAAAGCAGCAAAAAGTTGGTTTTATTTATGAAGTCAGTGAGAAAACACGTTAGTACTTATTAATTATAACAATGTTGAAGAATATGATAATAAAAAACAAATCTCACTTCTTTAATTGAACAAGCAAGTAAAGCATTAAACAATATAATTTTAATAGGAAACAGAGGGAACATGATAACATACATGAGACAGAAAAGAACCTTCATAATCAATGAGCCCAATCCTTTGAGATTGCAGGCATATACAGCATCACTTCTCTTACAAACACATCAAGCTCTCTTTTAAAAAGCATCATCTATCTTAAAAGGCTATTCCAGATACTCATTTCCTGTGGTAGCCAGAAACCTTCCAATTCCCACTTAATACTTATTCTTGGAAGTCTATGCTCATCTGATCTTGGTTAACATCACTGTCTATCTTAAAAACCTTTCTTTCCTTCAACAGATGCAGAACCCTTGTCAAATATAGCTGTGCTAAACTAAACAAACCAAGCTCTCAGTCTCCTCATGAAAATAACTGACCCTTATCTAAACACTCCAGTTAAGCCAACTCTACACTTGTTCAAATTTGAATTTATTTTTCTTGAATACTGACAAATAAAACCACAGACTACACTGCAGGAAAAGTTTTTACCAATTTGTTTTATAAAAGAAAAAAAAAGCCTGAAATATTTACATAGCTTTTTTGAAAATAACCTGCGATGACTTCTACAATCACATCTGACTCCTTCATGAGTATCAACTTTGCAATCATAATCCCCTACTTCTAATTTGTTCATTCCCTCTCTTTCTCTGTTGTTTCAAATGGGTGACCTTTAACTATTTAACTATTACATTCTGTTTCCATCACACCAGTTGTTGAGGCCATCCACTTCTTCCTGTACAGTATTTTTCCTCTGTATGAGTGATCCCATGCATGTGCGTGAACAGTAAGTTTCATCACTACACTCAAAATTTCAGTAATAAGCAATGATTAATACTATTGGTCCTACTAATTCATTAAATAGCTCCTAGAATTTCTAAATGGTACTTTTGAAATAAATCCTTCATATCTTTTTCTATTTGATTAACCTTGTGCTTTACCTGGATTGAATGACTTGTTCCAAATTTTCACTTTTCTATAACCTGCTCGCTACTTAAAATAAATGCCATAAATACCATCTTTGATAGTATCATATCACATATTGTCATGAATGGCACCATGATCACTGACTGATTAAAGATATTAACTACCACTCTAGCGATAACTAGAAACTGCAGTTATATTCTTCTTGAAACAAACACATAGCCTAGTTTGTGACTTAAAAATTAATGTCTTCCATGATGACACATTCCAGATATTACTGGAGGTATTAACACTATTACAGAACTGCAATCACCATTCAAATCTATTCTTGAGGACTGTGGACAGAATCCCAGAACTGACTGAACAGAAGCTCTTTTCTCCGCATACTCTACAATATTATTTTCATCCTAACCAACTGTTTACCCATGCTACCCCTTGTGACTGCTATCGTTCATCTCATCGTTAATGCCCTATCTTATCTCATTGACATATGCAAACTTCAATCCTTGTTTTCCAGTCATTGTCCCTTTCCCACTATAATTTCTGTCAATTTCATATCCAGTTTTACATCTCCCATCTGTCTTCCCAGGCTTTGCTGAGGTTCCTCACAGATGCACAGTATTTCCTAAGTTATGGATTGACAGCCATAATTGGGGAATGAAGGGGGAAATCTCCCAAAAAGATTCATAGGGAGATCACCTTTCTCTTTGCACTTGAACCGTATTTTCCTTAAATGTTGCCGACACCTTATCTTTGCTACCTATCCTCCTCTGGTGTTCCTTTCTCCTTTGTTGTGCTTCTGACTGATCTGATCATGCTCTTTTTATGTAGAAGGGAACAGCATTAAAGTTCTCTGAATCTCCATCTTCTCCCTTCATCTTTTAGATTCCAAGCTCTTCAAGTTGTAGTGACATTTTCAATCATAGAAAACTAGTACCCAAGGTACCCAGAGTCTGCCCATTGAAATAAATACTACAAACATCTCCAAATACAATGATTCAAGGATAAGAGACTTAAATTTCAATCACAGAATCAGTACTGGAACCATTTGTTGATCACTTACAGAGTCGTGCTCATTTTCTAGGGACGAAGTCTCCACTGATGGTTCTCTAAGCCAAAGCTTACTTTGCGAGTTCTTACTCCAGTCTCTGCATTAATCTTTGACCCATTCCCATACAGAAATGGAAGTGTTGCTTCTACTGATACGAAAGGCAACTGGAATCCATCTCATGCTCAGGTCCATAGCTCATCTCTAGGTGCTGTTGATCTAATCATCTATTCTCTCAATCGTTTTTGTATCTTTTTTGTTCCTTGTTCAGCTCTCTAACTCTTTAAGACCTTCCCCAAATGCAAAGAGATGCTTTTCTCTTCTTCGTTTTTCTGTCTGTTGTTTGTGACTGAAGTTTTATTAGCTTTCATCCTCTCACATTTAAAAACCTGCTTTTAACTCTACTTATCTTTCCATGCATGGTCAGTTCATCTGAGTGACTGTAATACTGCTTTCCAGTATCATCTGCATCATCCATCAGGACCCCTTCATAAGCAAGGGCTTAAAACTTCCTACTCACTCTATTCCATTCTGTACTCAAATTCCCATCTGAACTTCATCACAATTCCTAGTTTTTTCCGGTTAAGCCTATCTTGTCACATTCAGCATCCCATTAGCTTTGTAAGGAACCATTCAAAGCTGTGATTTTAGTCCCAATTCCCTGGCCTTTCCATTCACAGTCAATTTCATTGAATACTTACACTCTTTATCTGAAACACCTAAGTATATAGTTACCTAAATGACATCATCTAACTTCCATACATCCCCCCGCTACCAACACACAGTGGTATTTCTCTCAGAAGTCGACAATTAGTACATGTGTGTATGTATATATGTCTAAGCAGAACTCAGTTTTGGCTCGACATCTAAATGGGGATGTCTACAGGAGCACTAGGTTTCGAAGTCCCTAGCCAGTCAAGGTTTAGTTGATATAATTGATGTCAATAGCAATATGACTTTCCAGGATTCATGGCAGTCAAAACATCAGCTAATTAGCTGAATGCTCACATTTTAAAAATCTTTCCCTGCAGCAAGATTAATTATACTGAGTTATAAACTACTGGAACATGCTGTTCTCAGCAACCTAAAGGTTCCCTAGCAAAAATAAAAGTTTTCAACACAGAAGCACCTACTCACAACAATTAGACTCTCCATGCTAATAACGCCAAGTTCACAGGTTCAATCCCCGCTCACTGCAGGGGGGTTGGGCTCGATGATCTCTCAAGGTCCCTTCCAACCCAAAGCATTCTATGATTCTATGTTTTTTAAGCATACGTCTTCACCTTATTTTCCAATTCCAAGATCACTTTCACAACCATGCTTTAAACTCTGTAGTACTTCTGCATCATTCTGAAGCACAGATTAAATAAGGCATTGTATTCTTACAGCTATCTTACCAGTGCTGCACACAAGAAAGGTATTTTCCTAACATTTATCTAACATTCTCTTCTTTATCCAAAAAATTGCATTATTTCTTTTTGTCAGCTTGCTAAGAACCCTCATTACAGCAGCTGTTTTCCATGACTTCTTCAATGTCTTATCCAACCTATTGCTTTCCCATTCTGCAGCTACAAATGGCATTTGGTCCCACAAAACCTTGTATTTGACTATATGTAAATGCATATAATGGATTGTGACAACTGAACTAGGAAACTCAAAACTCTCTGTAACTGTAAA